GCAGGACAAGAGCGTTCCTTGTACTAGCAGTCGTCGTGGCAGTTGTGACTCCACTTGAGGGGTCCACATACTCGAACCGAAAAGGGTGCCACATCGGGAAAGCATAGGCTAGCCCTGAGAACCCAATTCACATACGCACTCTTTGAACACTTGGGCCCTGAAGCCTCAATTCTCGATCCCTGGCCTGCACTTCAATGGTATTGCGGCCCAGACCCCAAGCCACCGCCCATCCATTAAAACAATGCATCAAAGAGCACCCTAGAAAAGCTTTCTTTGGAGATCGTCGTGACCCTTATAGTACCAGTAGCCCTTCTGGTCGCCCTTATATATTAGTCTGCCCTGACAGCACCCCTTTACGGACCCTGAAAGCCATCCCCTTAAAGGTCATGCCCTATGCTGGGGTGCAGTTTATGGCCTTCGACCAGTCGCACGGCCGAAGTTCGAATTCAGTCCCCACGGCTTTTCCCTAGGGCTTTTATCAGGGGTTCTATGTATAAGAGGTTTGTAGGAGGCTTATGTCCGGGTTCCTATCAAGGTTCTCTAAGAGTGATTGTGCCAGGGGTCAAGAGGCAAGCACAGTATAATTGAGTGTTGGGCCTACGTGAGCCCCCAAACCTACAGACAGCTCTAAGTTGCAAAACTCAAATCTTTACCCGTTGCACAGTGCATTGGCTTACGTAATCAGAGCACTGCGAGTCCGTTTTCCCTCGGCCCGCTTTGTGCAATGTCATGGTGGCAGAGGATCACAGTAGGGTTTTCGGCTAAGTGCCCCAAACCCTAAACTGCAAGGGTTGTGAAGGGCAAGCATGTGGGTCTGAAGCTGTCATCCTTGATGATCGTGATGCTGCTGGCAGGGGTGGTGATTGTTGTGATTCCTAATGTTGTCATTGGGTACGCGGCTTTGTCCATCTGAACCTATCTGTTCATCTATCTATCTATCCATCTATCCATCTGTCCATCTATATATCCATCTATCTATCTATCTATCTATCTATCTATCTATCTAGGTAGATGTGTATGTAAACCTTGAAGCTTTTACAGCCCTGCGTGGGTTCGAGTGCTGCGATGCACGCTGCAGCTGTGGACATTTGCCGGCTCAAGGATCACAGGTCCTATACCCACAGGAACTTCTAATTCTATAGACCCCTCGTCACAACGCTTTAGAGGAACCTAATAGCCCCTACCTTTTTTTTGAGGTACCCCTTAGAGTAAGCCATGTAGACCGTTCCTAATGCTATGCTGCTTCAATTCAATAGTCCGCTTGGGGGTTTGATACTGTTTACAGGCTCTTGGCATGGTTTGTGAGGATCGGAGAAGAGCTGCCTGGAGTTTTGTGAGGCTTTTTGTTTGTATTAGGATTTGGGGGGGAATTTGGCTATGGAGGTCTGCGGATAGGGTTTAGGATTTAGCTGTGCGATTTTCAGGACTGAGAACAAGGGCTGCTCCTTACGAGAATGACAACTTTATTGAGTTTCGTTTGTTGTTTAAGGCCTGCGATTTGACAATTAGTCTACAGATTTTATGAGCTGGTCGTTGGCTTATGCAGCGCAGGTAGAATTCGTAAATTCACGAGCAGAAGCAACCAAGACCAAAGCCTAAACCAAATTTAGGGTTTGTTGATTTGTTGAGTGCTCCTTGTTATAACTGTGACGCCTTCAGCTGCGGATCCCAACTGGGGCCGTAAGTTAGAGCACCACCCAAGTATGACAACTCAACGGGGATGGAAGTAGGTAGCGGAACCCCCTGAAAGACTAACACGTAGAGCCTAGGACTGACATGCTTGGGAAAAGGGATCTCGGAAAGAGCATCCGTAGCCAACAGTCAGTGTTGATACATGTTTAACGCACGGTCACGGGTGCTTGATGTAGTAGTTCACTGGTGGCGGACGGTACATTCTATTCCTGGTATATATTCATAACATATACATATACATATACATATACATATACATATATATGTACATGTGTATACAGTGCATAGACAGATATAATATACAACTGTATGATATAATGTAATACAATACTATTTATATATATATATATACATACACATACATACATACATAAATACATACATACATACATACATACATGCATATATAGATTGTCTTTTAACACAACATGATCACATGGTATTATGTACTGTAATACGCTATAAAGGATAACGACATGTGATAATATGACAACAAATTACAGCAAAACATGACGTAGTGTAATATCACAAAGCATAATCTAGTATAGTATAGTATAATACAATACAACATAATAAGATACAGCAGAATATATTCTACGATGTTTCAATATGATATGATAAAATATAGTAAAAGAATGGGACTCGATGTAATGTAGTATATTTTAAATTTCATGGAATGGTATATATTACAGCATAGTATATTATATAATCTAATAAGAAAGTATGGTAAGGACAATATTAAAACATAAACATGGTGCCGTTCCATATAATATGAAAATACCGTTTAAGATAATATATTCAAGTATATAGTAGAACATGCTGTGATAGCATGTTTCTGTTTTGATTTTCTGTTCTGTTATGATATGTATAGTAAAATGTTTTATTATGTTGTAATGTGATATGATCCAATACGACACGTCATCTTAGATGATAATTTGATGTAGCACAATGTATCGCAACATAATATAATGAATGTAATGTAATTTAGTGTAATATCGTATAAATAGTATAATATAGCGTACCGTATTCTCACATGATGTAATACGATAGTATAACATATCATAATATAATGTGGACTGAAAATGACACCGGCAGATGCAGTATGGGCTTCTTAGGGACGGCCATGTCAGCCGCCGCGTCCCGAGGCAGCGTTTTGCATATCGCAGGGGTTAACCGTGTCCAAGTTCTTCTACCCTCCCAGGGGGCCAGGAAGCGATAAGCACCAACACAAGCTTTGCACGTACATATGTATGTATATGTGTGTGTATGTATTCTCAATATGTGCACACAGACACGCATATATATATACACATATATGCTTGATATCTCTATGTTTCCATACATACATACATACATACATACATACATACATACGTGTGTGCGTGTATATGTATACATGTGTACATACACGCACACCTATCTGTACAAACTTTGGGTTGCAAGATAGGGCTCCTTATGAGAGATCCTTGGGTTTTTTCGCCTGTGACGACCATGAACTCTAATGCCCTGTTCTTGGAGGTGCTGCAGTGATTGTACTGCTTAGGTGCATTCGTGTTGATACTTAGTCTGTCCTTTGCGCCTGGTGCTGCTGTACTTACTTTCCCCACTGCAGTACCTATTTTGTCTCGTAGCTAGTTTCAGTTCTGTTTATGCGCACGGTTACTTTCTCGAACATCGGGGAAATCTGCAGTGCCAGAATGCTTCCCCCTCCAAACCCCGAGTGCAGCATTGGTTTGGGGATTTAGGTGAAATGGCAGTCCCTGGAAGATGCCCCAAACCCAGAAAGCCTAGCCTGATTCAGTTCCTTGGTGCCTTCGTGCCCATGGCACTAGAGACAGAGCACAAACATTCCCCGGAAAGGACATTTTCACGAAAGGCTGAGCCCACTGAGTCAGGCCGGAGGGGATATAGCCGAACTTCGAAACTGGAACCCTGAATCCGAACCTTTAAGAGAAGCGAGTCCTGAAATCATGAGCCCTAAACCCTCAACTTTTCGCTGCAGCATTTTGTGGGATCAGCTATCCTTCGTCTGTTTCGGTGTTTCCTCGTGCTTCAAAACCCATCAGCAGCTTGGATGAGATTTGCCCAAGACCCCTGCAGGTGCAAGTATTTAGGTTTAAGGATGTGGGTTTGGGTTTAACATGTTATGGAGTTACAAGTGCCGGAGTTGGCTGTCTTGCTTGTAACCATCGATGTATCGTACTCATGTTGTCCCTTGGTTCCCCAAACCGAGCCGAGACCCCCACCACGAGCCTCAAGGTGCTTTGGGAAATCTGTCCCACGCCCTCGCACTTGAAGTATGCATGGGCAGGCATCAGCATATACCATGTATCCCAGCCAGCCAGCCCTAATGCTCTCCAGCAGCCCCTTTTCTGCAGACGGAGCCTGGAATACCTGCGGGCCCTGTGCTATGGGCCCTAAAACCCCAAGACCCCAAAACCCCTGACTCTTTAGCCCTCCTTAGCCCTAAAGCCTATAGGCCCCAAACCCCAGAAAGTCCTTGCCTTCGGGGCCTTCAGCTCGAGAGCTTATTCAGTCTGAGCCTTGGGGGATTAGGGCCCGGAACTACTTGAACCGTAAACCTTTGATCAAAAGTGGAACAGGCGATGGAGGGAGATTCTATATACTTCAGTAGATAGGGGCCATCTAAAGAGACTGCCACTACCCCTTCGGAGATCCTAGAACATCACATAGTCGCAAGACTTTGTGGGCGCCTTCAAATCCTGGCCTGCAACCTAAACCCTATAGGGTTTAGGGTTTAGGGTTTAGGTATAAACCCTAAACCGAAAACCTTCAATCCTAGCCCAAGGCATCATGGCCTTTGTTGCTCTCCTCCTCGCTCTGCCTCTGTACCTCGGCAGCACCTTGGTCCGGGGATCTTGGGCTTGTAGGGTCAGGGTTTTATGAGGGTTTTGTCGGCGTCGTATCAGGGATTTGGGGACTTTGGCAGGGTTCAGAGCACGCTTTTTGTTGGAGGGAGAAGGGCCGCTCGGGTTCCCAGCAGAGGCTCTTGCAGGCTGGATGCAACAAAGGGGGTGTTGGCTTCGATGCCAGGCCAGTCGTGGTGCATCACTGAGTGCACCCCGTCAAGTTTGACAGCCTCAGCCTGAAAGCGAACATACATAAGTTGCACCTGTACTCTCCATCGTATTTCTCTCGCTTGGCTAACCAATTGTACTCTGTGGGATCCTACAATACAGAATCAAGGTAACCGAAGCAAAGCAGTTGTTTAAGGGTAGGTTTCAGGAGCCCCTAACCGTACCCTGCACCGCCTGGTTTAGCTTCCGACAGCTTTTGGGCTTGGTCAGGCTCGCTGCCGCCGGCCCGGCAGGAGTTCGAGGAGGCGAGGCTTGGGGGTCCAAACACTGATGGTTTCGGTGCGGTTTGGGGGTTTAGGGCTTCGGGTTCAGGGTTTAGGGTTTCAGGTTTTGGGCGTTGGGGCAAAGTGTGCTGGAGGCCTTCGGGTCTGCAAACCCTTACAGAGCAGATCGAAGCATGCAGGCCTTGTTACCCCTAAACCCTGAAACCTAAACCCTAAACCCAGGAGGGGTTTCCACGTCGTTTCTCTTCGCTTCAGCTCCAGTGGAAAAACATAGAGCCCCCTTGTTCACCGACGTGACCCCGAAATGCAACGTTTGCTTGGGTTTAGGGTTTGGGGGTTTCAGGTTGAGTATTTATAGGGTTTAGGGCTCTAAGGTTCGATTTTTTCAGGGGAGATGCGCGACCTGGAATGCAAGCAGCTCCGCGCATTACTAGCTAATTAGATCCTTACATGAGCCTCTGCTTGTAAGCCGCGAAGCCAACGAGCTAAACAGGAGGCTGCACCCAAAATTCTCAACTACACGGCCTTCGATATCTCCCTGGAGCTCTATACCCTATCAGGAGGTAGCTTACGTGCTACACTAGAGTGCGGCTTGTGGGGGAACCTGAAACAGGACCGTCGCAGTTTGGCTCTGCGGATACACCAATTGAACCTGAGCTCGCTAAACCGGACAGCTGGTTGAGCCTGTGCCAAGAGGCTTATGTAGAACCTTTTCGAACCATCAAAGACCCTCATGTCCTAATCCCTACACCCCCTCCACCCTTTAAGGAACCCTGACACACCGCCGGCCTGGAACCACAGAACCTAAGCGCAGCTGGAGCCGATTTGCGGCTTCACAGTGTTCCTACTGTAAGACTTGTGAATTCTGAAGCTTCCCAAGTCAGCTGCAGACTGCACGGCTGAAATTCTGGAGTTGAAAATTGTTGATTATGCGGGTAAGTATGGGATTCAAATTTACAGCTTAGGCGAAGAGGTGAGGGTAAGGTAAGGGTTTGGGTGGATCCTAGAAAGCTCTCAGCAGCAATTCCGAATTCGATCGGGTTTCGGTCAGCCCCGCGGCCCCTTGGCCACTTTCGCCCGGCAATGGAAGCAACATTGGACTACATCGGGCAGGCGAGATGCAGAGTGCAGGTGTGTTCCAGAATGTCCCGTTCCAAGTTCAAACGTTTTAGGCCAGTCTCACCCAACTCGTTAGGGCTAGGGCCGTTAGGGTTCCTGATTCATAGTTATAGCATCAGGCCCTAGGCCCAGACCCTGTGTCGAGGCAGCTAGGAAGGTTTTTGGGATTCGGGTTTGAACGGAAGCAGCTTGAGCCCCTGGCCCTCCAGGTACCACCTCGCAGTTTGATACTTGCGGCTGTCTTTCTCCGTTTGATTCTTATTGCCGTGGCGGAGGTGCAGGACTATCTTGCCGAGGTCGGGTTGCCGGAAAAGCGTTTCCAGCCGTTTACCGTAAGATGGCGCTTTCGATGTGGTATAGACCACGGGGAGAAGTTTCGACGATCAGAATCTCAGACTGGCGCTCATGCTACACCCACCATCTGCGACGAAAAGGGGCCATAATTGTCTTTCAAACACGCCCCCACTGCCAGGTGCCCTACACCGATGTGGATTACCAAGTTTTCACTGATGCTGCGGAGTCCCTTGCGCTCGGGCTCAGCCCCTACGAGGGGAGAACCGCCTTGCTTGCGGCTGAAGCAACCCGCTATCGCCACACGGCTGAGAGCCTGTGGCCACCACCGAAAACTGAAACTGCAACACCTCAGTACAATTCACGACTCTTTCCCCCGAGGATACACGCCGCTTCTCGCCTTTCTTCTGCTGCCAAATGTGTGGCTCCACAAGGCCCGTCGTCTTTCTTGCGAGGGGGGAGCCGTCTGCATGCAATGGTGCGTACCGAGAGCAATCGCGTCTCCAGACCAACCTCTTTTTTGTCCTAAACCCTAAACCCTAAACGGCCATGTCGTCCTTGCTAAGTGGGAGGGAAAAAAAACGGCCATGTCACGCCGACCTCGCACCAAGAACCTCGCCTGGCTTGTCCGAGTTGTGAGAGCGTAAACCATAAATCCTAAACCCTATAAACCCTAAATCCTAAACCCTAAACCATAAACCTGAAACTAAGCTTGACAAGGCCTGGGGCAAGCTGCTATTCTCTGGTCTCGATGTGGCTGCGGCATGCCTGCCCCCAGACTAATTACAGTTTTAGGGTTTAGGGTTTAGGGGTAATTACCTGACAGACAGCTAGCACCTCAATACCCCTATGGCCCTAAATTCAAGCAAAATGATTTCCCAGCACCAGTCATCATCCTTATCCTATGATCGGAGAGTGCTTAGACTTGTTATCCAGGTTTTGGGTTAACGTGCTTGGTGGCCTTGCAAAAGGGGTGATGTTATCCCTAACGAGAATTTGGGACGGCTGTAGACCGAGGCCCACATGCGCCCCAAAGGCCTGAAACCCGGAAGCCTCTGTCTTGTAGTCCCTGTTTTATATGGAGGGTTTAGGGTTTGGGATCTGGCCGGGCGAGCTCCAATCAAGCCTGTGTAAAAAGGATTCCGGAACGTATCCCCAAACCCCAATCTAGCTGTTATTGCACCGGCTTTAGTGTGTTGTGTTTTTTTGTCTTAACCCCTAACCTTTCAACAAACCTTTCAACATCAGACTAGCTAAGGTTGCAGGGCATCTTGCAGCACAAACGTTCCAAGAGGATCAGCTTGGGCTGCTCAGCTTTGCTTCGGGGGCTAACTTTAAACAGTATAAGGCATGATTGAGGCTTCTCTACTAGGGTTAATTTTCTTTGTTTCTATGTGTACACCCAGGAAATCTGCTGCAAAAACTAGGACCCAGGCCCCACCTGGACCTCAAAGCCCTGCATTTATAGGGTTCCCCATGATGATGTCCTGAACCCTAAACCCCTAAACCGCCTAAACTGCAAGGCCTGGCGTTGTGGCTCTTCAACCCCTTCTGCTTTACCATCTCCACGAGGGGCAGTGGCGAGTCCGTCGTCGTGCTGCTGATTTATGTCGCGCGGCGCACGGTTCACGGCCTTGGCCTTGCAGGGTTTTGGGTGAGGCTTGAAGGTGGGGGGGGCCTGTGAGCTCTAGCACTGTTATAAAACAAGCTTTGTAGAAGCAGAGGCCAGGAGCAGTTGTGAATATTCACTCTGAGTGTTGGTGTTTAATAAGACTTCGGAGATGTATGGCCATAGTGGGTTTTGTCAGCAACACCAGATGTCGCGGAAGCCTCCTGTGCATGAGTGCATGTGTCTAGATTTGGAAGATTGACTTTTCCTGATTTGGGAGACCATAAACCCTAACTCCCAAGCCCTCAATTACCCATAGCCTCCATAGTACTTCCTTTTGGGGATTACATTATGGGATCCTAAATATAAACCACAAACAGGAACTGCTATGGAGCCTGTGGGTATCAACAAAAACCCCTAAAGCCTTCCTCAAACTTGAAATCCCAGGCTGTCATCTACTTCTTGGAGGTGCGGAAGAATTGGCCGCTGGCGGCTCTGTGTTATGGGATTGCTGTCCATTGGAGGATCTATCCCATCGTCAATGCACTTCCTATCGCACTATTTCTCCTGGGCTTCGGGAGAGCCCGCGATTTCTTGCAGCTGGTAGGCTTTGGGTGCGTGGCGGCTGCGGTCTTGCTCGGGCTGGGTCTCGCATGCTACAAGCTACTTCCAGTGCGATGGATGCGTTGAATTCTTTGCGTGGTTAACCATTGGTACCTCTGCAGAGGTTCTAATACCGCCTAATATGACTCACTACAAACTCGGAAGGGAGGTACGCATCGCCGGATGCCTACTATTTGAAACGCAGGATGAGCATTAGCAGTTCTCGACACCGAAACGTACTAAAAGCTGATGCTCAGCAAACACTCGCGCACTCGGCTCTTCCACGGAAAGCGCCATTTACACAGAGACTCCAAGGTACTAGCCCGAAGAAGCTACAGGTATCAGACTGCTGGCCCAACGAACATACTACTGCAACAGGCTATAGCCTCTGAGTTGGGGCAGAAGTTTTCGGACCCCCATGCACGAAGTTGGAGTTTCGGAAGGTCGTGGAGGCCCCAACAGGAGCCCGAAGGAGTAGGGTCCTGAACCGCCGGAGTTTCGTTTGTGGCAAAGGTTGTATGGGCATGAGTTCATCGAATGCTCATACCTTCACCACAGCAGCTTGGATGTGGACAGGTTGCGGACAATAGGGACTAGTGTTCCATATGGCTTGCTTAATGTATGTCAAGGCCGTCTCAACCGATCATGGACATCGGATAGCCCGATGGCCCCACTCCTTTCAGTGCCGGGCTTTGGTGAGCAGTGCATTCAGCAAGCAAGGCCCTGCAACCGCCAAGTTATGCGTCAGACTGCGTGGCAACTTGATACCCTCGAGCTTAACATGGAGCCCAACGAGGGCACAATACCAGACAGCTGTCCCCTTGAATTGTAATTATACCACAGGACAGTCATGTCAGTGTTTCTTGCCAACAATGGCATTGGGTTTGGGGCTTGGTTGCCGAGGTGCGCCATGGTAGCAGCAAGAACATAGCATAGAGGCCTCAGTGGTTAGTAATACCTTCTAGTCGCCGAGTCCCTCGTGAAACAAAGTAGAAGCATTTCGCATGGGCCCCTATATTGGGTCATTGAGGTTTTCGGAAGGAAGTGGGGTTCGCTTTCTTTGTTCAGTTCGACACTTGCCACACGGTAAGCCACTTCAAGCCTAAACCCTCGTAGGGCCCGGGTTCATAGTTCATGCTGTGTTATTCTTGCATATGGACCGCAAGAGGACATTTTGATTATTCAGACCGATCATGAATTAACCCCGGTGCCAAAAAAAGCATTCCAACTCCTTTAACCCTTCACCCCCTCAACCCTAAGCCCTAAAGCCAAGCCGTCAACTGGCCCTAAACCTCCCCTCAAACCCCCCCTGTCAACCCAAGCAACCAATGTCTAAGCTCCAAAGACGAAAAGCCCGAGACCCGAAGGCTAGGGCCTATATACCTTGGACCTCAACCGCTATACAGACTAAACTCTTCTATCCTCTAGGTTTAGGGTTTAAGGTCTTTAGGGTTTAAGATTGGTTTAGGGTTAAAGGTCCATAGGGTTTAGGATTGCTTTAGGGTTGAAGGTTCATAGGGTTTACGATTGCTTTAGGGTTTGAGGTTTATAGGGTTTGAGATTGGTTTAGGGTTTAAGGTTTATAGGGTGTAAGCTTGCTTTAGGGGTTTAAGGTTTGTAGGGTTTAAGATTGGTTTAGGGGTTGAGGCTTATATAGAGTGTAAGATTGCTTTAGGGGTCTAGGGACCTGGCCCGAGGCAGCCGAAGGGATCCGCAGCATAACTTCTCCGTGTACTTCTACCCGGTGGCGCTCCACTTGGAAGGCCGATGAAGGGCGCACAAAGAAGGGCTTTTTGAGAGCTTTCGGGTCTTTGGGCGTCGGGGTTTTGGAGGATTCTATAGTTTTGGGGGTTCGAAGTCATGAAATCCATATATGCGAATATGGTAGAGCATACCCCAAGCCCTATTCTGATTATATTACTTACCCCCTATATCGAACTCTATTGGTGTGTTTCGACTGGTGGCGGGGGCAACTTGATGACAAGCCTCACAGGGACAATGCTTGCCATTGGTTCAGGATTTCAGGGTTTGGGCTGCTTCGGCAGACACGCTGGGGGCAGAGGGAGTTCTTGGGCAGCGAGGCAGATCTGCAGGAAAAAAACGGCTTTTCGGCCGTATCCACAATATCCATTCGGTTCCGACGTTCTGCATTTTTTGGCCGCACATGCGCCAGAGCAGAAGTCTCGAGGGGTGGTCTTATGGGAGCAGCGTTTCTGGCATGCATGAAATTGAAACTGACAAAAAGCACAGAACAAGATCCACGGCGAGGTGTTGAAAAGCATTGCTCAGCTAGTTGAGGATTTGGGGGTTTCGTGCTGCGAAGGAAGAGGCAGTGAGCATCTGAGGTTCCAACTCCCTGAGCTTGCATTCTCAGTGCATACTTCATTTTACTGGCAGCTGTTGTCCCACATCTTCCTTCACGATTATACCGTAGTAAACCAACGATCCCGATGGTATACACATGTATACAATCAGTGCGACGATTGGCAATCCCAAAACCCTAAGCCCTATAGAGCTAAACCCTAAACCCTAAACCCTAACATCTCCTTACCTGCCTTCAGGGGCTTTCAATGGAATGGTTCCGGACTTGGCGCGTTTCGCAGCTGTCCCGCAGACACTCGGCCCGTGCTGAGCCGAAGACTTGCTTCCTTTGGGGTTCCCAAGCCTGCTATTCTCGAAACATGTATGAAAGTATCGCAACACGTTAGAAAAGAAAGAGGTAAAAACGAATGGCTTAAGGCCAAACTAAACCCTGTGCACACCCCAAACGGGTGTTCAGCACGCACATCCTTATGCCTTCATTTTCGCAGGGCATGCGACCTGGAACTCTTCACGCTATGTAAGATTAGTGTTACTGTTACTATTCAGGCCTCCTTATTATTACTGTTGTTTATTGCTATCATTACATTATTCTTTGGGTAGAAAATACCCATAAGACCTTACTCTAACCACTAGGGCACCTCTTCTGCTCGGCACTACAAGAATTTGGCAGCCCTACCGTCGTGTAATTAGGGGGGCTTCTATCAATTATTGTTTTTGGGAGTTGACAATGCCGTAGGGGGATCCCAACAGAAGGGGCCGACTCGAGAAAAAACCTGCCCATATGAAATTCTACCAGCGCTACTTGCCAAACATGTGCCCTGAGCCCTACTTCAGACCCTCGCCCTAAACCTGCAAAAGATGCGTCAGCAGTTCAGGATTCTGCTCTGTGCCTGGCTGGGCTTTGCAGCGCGAGATGAGCTTCCCGTGGCCATGCTGTTGCAGACCCTGGCTTTTGTCGCCACCAACAAGGTCCGGTAGGGTTTGAGCTTCAGGGTGGTGGGTGAATTATTTCCCACTCAATATAGCCATAGGAGTTTGCTTTCATTACGGTTGGGGGAAGGTACGCAAACTCGGTAGCCTTTACCCTCGTTGAGCGCTTAGAGTTTAGATGTTGGTCAGTTCAAAGCATGATCCGGGGTGAGGACGAGCTTCGCTCGTCCGGCACGATCGAAAAGCATTCGGAAACAAAAAGGTTGAAATGCCAGCCAACATTAGTTCGTTTCCATCCACCCAATCCCGAATTGTAAGCTGAGCTTGGCACTGCTGCAACACACATTCGACATGCACCCTAGCTGAAGTACTGTAGCTAAACCCAACCGCCCTAAACTTTAACTTCTAAAAACTCTAAACCCTACATGTCTCTAAACCCTAAACGTCCCTAAAGCCTAGACCCTGAACTCTGAAAGCCCGGTTGCCCAAGCCTTCAAAGATCAGTTACTTGAGCCGTGAGATGTTTCGGGCTTTGCCGCCTGCAGCCGTAGAGACTTCAGTGACGGTTTAGGGCTTAGGGCTTTATGTGTTGGGTACTATGGATGTTGCCAATGCTTGGGGTCTGGGGCTGGCCCGTTTTATACGGAATACGGCATGTTCAGTTGTCATGTTCAGGGTATCGGGTATGGGATCCCTCTAAGCCCTACGAAAGTCCCCGGATGGAATCGGATCCCGTAGTCCGACTCAAAGACCTGCAGTGCTTGCCGCTTGCCGCGGCTTGCGACGCGGGAGCCCAAAAAGGCACTGAATCACCTACAAACCCTGAAATCCCCCAAACCCTGAACCCTAACTATTTTTAAAACCCATCGACACCGTAAACCCTAAATTCCTGAAATCCCTAAAGAGAGAGGTCCTCACAGCGCAGTACTTCGTGTGGTGGCTCTGCCTCGTGCCCTTCGTGCTCCCGAAGCTCGAGAGCTGCTCCTGGCTGATGCGCTGCATGCTGGCCAGGGGAGCTGAATGAACTATGTAACTATGGTGCTTTATAGAGTTGGATATGGGACTTTCCGAAAATTAGGGCACCTTATTTTGAGGTCC